GCAAGGGTGTCAAGGAAATCTTCCCTTAGGGGAAATTGGCTGCTTAGGTGGCATGGTCGATGTTCAATGAGATGTATCAACACTACGTTGGAAAGGAAGATGATATCACAAGGACTTTCAGGGAGTGGCTTTTTCATAGTCCAATCCAGTTTTTCAGGCAGGATTTACAACCAGTCCAGAGAGGGAAAAGTAAACCGACTAGATAGAGCCGTGGCCAGATGAGAGGACTTCGTCTCCAGGAGAGGTGGGCACTATGATCCACATGCAACCTATTCTGAGAAGAGAAGAAGCCTTGATTATTTAGTTTGTGTGATGTGGTGTTATAGAAAAGCTGAATAATATTGAACGAAATAACAGAAAAATAGCACAAATCAACACAGCCGACATTATTGCACTGTAGAGTTATTACAATAAGGGTGTACAGTTAGTCCTGGAGACGATAATAGTAGGAGTCTGCTCAAGTGATTAGCAAACAGTATATGTTCAGAGACGAGGACAGCCAGATATGAGAGAAGAGGCTTAAATCGTAGCAATAGAATGAGAGAAAAGTGCGAAATAGAACAAGACGTTCAAGACAGGAGATAGCAAAACAGGCAAAAATGGCCTTCATGCAGAAAAAGGGCTAAATATCACTGGAAAAGAAGGGAAAGGAAGTATAGTCTTGATATCTTGATACCATACAGAATGAACCTGTGTTGGCAAGCCTAACACTTAGCACAGAGCTTGGGCCCAGCTATCAAGAAGCCCTAATGAGTATTTTTGTCCAGCATTACCGAGGTAGGCGAGGCAAGCCTAAGGTGCAACACCTTCAGCCACAGACCCCAGTAAGTTTTAATATTATGGTCATTTAATCCTGCACTCATAGTAAGCCATTATACCGACATCTCCTTGAATTTTTCAGATTTATTCTGTGATGTTATTAGGTTTTTTTTCTGTGAAAGTATTGATTATAACTGCTATCAAACATAATAAAAGAAATGATAGAGCAGTAATAATGTGATGCATGATAGGGGGATGAAATGCCTGACTACTAATACCGAGGAAGTGAAGGGAGGAGATTCGTAACTGAAACTAACTACTATTACAAACCGCTACTACGTAGACTACATAAAACAACTACTAACTACTAACTACTTACTGGTAGGTGATCTAGTACTGGATAACTGCTGTAACGAAATGATTCAGCTTGCGAAAACTCGTGTGCTACTTGATAAAAGGCCAGGATTGTTTCAGCAGACGATTCAATTTCCCTTGATGGTTTAAATGTTACACTGGGCTGTAATTCTACAGAAATTTGTCTGATAGCTGGAAAACATATTCGGAAGCTGCAGAAACTGCAGATTTTTTTCTGTAACTATGAATCTGACCTTAAACAAGGTGTTATACTGAAGAATTTCAAATATCAAAATACGAGTATCATATGTGACTTCCATGTTTCCTTTACTGTCAAATGGAGCATATGAAGATTATATTTCTTTATTATAAATAATGATAGCCAATTACAAAGCTGGATGATAACTAATGAAAATAAGTGAAAAAAGAGCAAAAGATATGAGTACAGCTCTCACTGACCACCTGGTGCTCATGAGAGGAGGACATGACCTTCACATTGAGGACATCAAAATGTCTCTACAGGGATATCAGTGAAACATTATACATGGAAAATCTAATTCTAAGGCACAAAGGAACAGGCCTTCAGAAGCTCATAATCATATATCACTTTTCATTTATTGATACTGAATAATTCTATGTCGTTTGCCGTGTTTATTATTGCCTAGGACCTCCACCACTTGCTATACAGCATAGTCATTTGCCAAGTTAACTATTAATTTTTAAAATTGAATAAGTACAAAGAAAGTAAATCCACAATCCCTTAATTTAAATACATATCAAAATGTGATTGAAAGATAGAATAAGCAAATGACACATGGCATGAGTCCATGAAAAAAGGGGATGCTTACTCTATGATTGGGTTGCTTATTGTGTGTGGCTCAATGCAGAGACACATACATAGAACCCTAGTAGTCTGAACTTGTTGCTATAGATACCACTGGGAAATAAGGGTACTGCACTCAGGTACCAGTCATAAGTGGGTTAACTGACTCCCTGGTGTTCAGGTGCTTGTGAAGCCATCTACACATATATAAAATAGTGAAAGTGAACCATAGTGGGCCTTGTATGTTCTGGCATCAATGGGTTGATGATGTTCCCATTCTACTACCTTAACCGTAAGCACTTCTTATGATAAATGTTCTTAGATATCTTACCTAATCCTGTGTGTCCTGTATCTTGTTGGTGAATGTTGATATCTTCTCGAGTAGAAAATCTATCTTTACACATCTCACATTGCAGAATCACCTGCTTGTGAAGTCGACTGGAAAAGATTGACCATGCTTCTAAGAATCAACATTAGTAAGAAAACAATTAAAACATTTAACCCATTCCTTAGAAACAATCTTAACAACACACCTAAAATACAGAACAAAAATAAGAATGACTCACGTATGGAGAAGATATCTTCCCTTATGAAGAAACCCTTTGCCACATATGTTGCATGACCACTTTGCCTTCTTCTTGGCACCTCGCTTCTTTCTGAAGAGTGTAGGCTCACTAAATGCAGCTTTGGAAGGCATGTTGATTGACTCTCCCATGCTGGTAATCTGTGATGAATATTCTTCATCTTACTTTTTGCATTCTCAGGATATTTGTTTGGCTTTCTTACAAACAATAAAAATATTGGCATGAAATGTCTGTGGGAAATGTTATTGGTATGATACCATGCAGACTATTCATTTTTACTGTGCTGTTATCATAGCTTTTAAAATTCATTTATAAAAGATTGATTTAAATACCTTTCTTTCTAATAATTACCCCTCACAAAAGATCTTACATCTTATTATATGACATTTAATGTTAATACAACACAATAAATATACATATAGTTATATAAATCTGTATTACTAACAATTTTATTTTCACTGGTTGATAATGTTTTATTTATTTTCTTGACATCTGATCTCACTGTCTACCCCATTCCTTGAATTTTTATATTATTATTGTTGCAGTGTTTTAATCATGATCACAATAATAATAATAATAATAATAATAATAATAATAATAATAATAATAATAATAATAATAATAATAATGAAGTAATGGAGCAAAACAAGCAAAGGAGGTGGGGGAGGTTAGAGAGAAAGAGGAGGGAAGTAGGTGGGGGCAGATGGAGGGTTTAACCCCTGCGATCCAGGTGACTTGACTGTCCCGTCATGGAAAACTTTGGGTTGAGGGCTGGGTGATGTGAACTTGCTGTCATGGGACAAAATGGCTGCAGGCTGGGTGGCGCAAACTTTCCATCATGAGTGAAGGCCAGGGGATGGAAAAGACTTGCCTTGAGTGCGCAAACCTCTTGGAGTGTGGTTAGACTCATTTGGCATTTAGAAGAGGGTTTTTGCATTATTCCCATTGATAAACAGGTGTAGAATGTAACGTGTGTAACTGGAAGAGCGCCAGCTCCAGGAAGAATGCCATTTCCATGTTCAGCATCATATTCCTGGCTGCAGTGACCAGCAGCACAGGTTGCATTATGGAAAGTTGAAAATTATGAGAAAATAAAATGTATGACACAAAAAATGAAATGATTCATATTTCTTTTCTTTTGCACTGTCATTTATTACATAAAGAGATGATATAGAGTCTGTGCAAGTAAAATAATCTGAATAAAGCAAATCAAAAGGCAAATATGGGCATTGGAAAATGGCAAAACAGCTAAAAAAGTTTATGCTTTTAGAGTATAGAGTTTTGTCACTGCACACGAGTGTTCACGTACGCCCATCCTACATGCCGCACACCAAGTAAAGCGGCCACTTATGTAACCCACTGAACATATTTTCAGCCATGTGATTGCCGTGACGCAACCAGATCAAACAAATTAAAGTGGGAAGGGAGGAAAGAATTTAAGGAATATTTGGATGTGAGAAGGAGTGGCATAACAAGAAAGGGAATGTAGAGGGAGAGGGAAAGGAAAATGGAGAGAGGAAGCAGGAGTTAAAAAGGGGAGAATGAAAGAGGGAGTAATGAAGGCCAAGCTGACAAGCTACACAACTGACAGAGTCACCACTCAAGTAAGCCTTTTGGCCAGATTTGGTCCACAAGCAGGCTGAGAGGCACCTGGATCTAACAGGTCAACAGCGCAAATAAGTGAAATTACATAGACCTAATAGTTGACCTCTTGGTGACTTTGTACTTGTGAAGCTATCTATTTTTAAACACAATTAATAAAACAAAACCAAAGTGGTCACATTATGTACCCAGTGCTAATGGCTCAACAAAGATCATATGAAATACCTGAACAGAGCTCACAGATGCAAGAGGAAGTTTTTCCTTTTCATCTAATTCTTCCATTCCTCTTAAGGTGATATTACCATCTGTTAAGGAAACACTAATCAGTCTGAAGCACACACATTCATTGTTTATAATCATAAAGTGTATATATGTATAAAGTAAAAAAATAGAATTAACACTTGTGAGTGCATTTCATACCATCCTGGAAGTCAACCTCGATGTTTACAGATACTGGAAGATCAGATGGGGCTTCAGAGGACTCGGGGGCAATGACAATGCTAGTGCCATCTTCTGAAACCTTGCCAAGAGCACCCTCCTTGGGATTTCTTAAACCTCCCTGTTTTTCCATGACTTCCAGCATTGACGGTCCAGACAGACCCTGGTGCTTGTAGTCAGCATCACTAGCATCATCCTGCACCTCCATTATCTCCTCTTTCACTCCCGACTCACTCATTAGCTTCTCAAAATCTCGTCCAGCAATGGAGTCCCTATACCTGATAAAACATATGAAATTATTTTCAGCATCTTCCTTTGGAAATGGAAATGAAATGAGTGGCTGGTATGATTATTATTATCTCAGACATTCCTTCAAACAAAAGGCAAATGGTAAAGTCAATAAAACTGTAAAATAACACAAACCAACTCACTTTACAAATAAAACCATAATCATCTACCATTAACTGTTGAAATTACTTAGGTACATACATCAAATTTCCTTGTGTAAAAAACAACAACATATTTTCATATTAATATACCCCATCAAACTTTCTTGTGTAAAAAAAAAAAAAAAAAATTATTTATATGCCCACCAAAAGATGAGAGCAGCATAACTTTTTAAAAATCAAAAGCAACTTTATCTTAATTTTTTTATCATATGCCTTTCTGAAAGTACTAACCTTGTGGGCAGATTTGCTCTCCTGTTAGACCTTCTTGGTCTTCCTTTCTTAACATCATCATCATCTAAAAGGCTAGACTCCTCCTCCTTCACCTTTTGCTTAACAGGTCTCTGTGATAGAAACATGATTCTTGTATTTACTGTATTCTAAAATATATTTTGCATCATGGATGTGTGTAAAGGGATATGTAATCCTGGGAAGGTCTGTGTGCTGCATGTCTCAAAAACCATTATCTAAATCAAGGAATTTAAGAGAACAGTGATGATAAAGCTTTAGCTCTAACTGTGGTGGCAAATGTATTATGATTCTTTATTTAACAAATAGTTAGACAGTAATAAATGCACTTGCCACAGCCCGACTTATAATAATAATGTTTTAAAGGTAATCCTGATCCAGGGAGCCCATTATACACCATGGAAATGGTTTTCCAGTGGTTGTATGGTAGATGGAATGGTAGTTCAAGGGAACTCATTCCATTGAAGCTACAGAGTGTGGTGTTAATCCCATGGAGGGGATAGGCCTTTAATGTTTTACAAGGTTTTACAACTATAGACATAGACACTTTGTCCTGGGGACATAGGGGTGATAATCTACAGGTCCTGTAAACAAGGGCACCAGTGTGCTCAGTGCTGGGTCAGCAGAGTCAAGAGAGGCCTGGGTGCCTGTGAGGCACTTGCGCCCCAGTTCAGATTCAACTGTGGTAATGCTTAGACACCGTGATGAACAATTGTAGGCGAAATTAACATTATGTTAAAATTACTGAATTCTGTGTGACATGAACGAAGTAACATGGACCAGGGTCTATAACATTTTGCAATTCCAAGGGGAATAACACACTTGTCAGGAGATGAGGATACATCACTGTATAAAAAAGTAATTCTATTAAATGTTTAAATTCATTTCTTGTGTTTATAATAGCCAATTGAAATTATACTGATGTAGAGTGGTCATACATAAAAGTTGGACGTATTATTCATATAATGACACTGAGCCTGCTCCAGAGAGAGTGGAAATAAATCTGTTATCCAGTGGCCTATACATGAATATATGTGGAATATATCTAAATTCTTATATCTGCTTAAGGGAGTATTAGATTGATAAAAAGTAGTATAGCAACCTTCTAGAAGTGGCTAGGTAATACAGTTACATGTTTACCTTACATTTCTAACTGTAGTAGTTTTCAAAAAAAGTTCTGTGTTTACAACAATATTCTAGCAATCTACTAAAACAGATATACAAACAAAATTCTCTTTCCTTACACACACACACACACACCCACACACAACACACACACACACACACACACACACACACACACACACACCACACACACCACACACACACACACACACACAACACCACACACACACACACACACACCACACACACACACACACACACACACACACACACACACACACACAACATACACACACAACACACACACCACACACACACACACACACACACACACACACACATACACACACACAAAAAAAAAAAAAAAAATCTTAAATAAATAAAAAATAAGATCAAGCTCATAAAGAAAAAAGTCTATACAAAACTAGTAGATGAAATTACATCTCCTTTCCGTGGTCGTCCCCTTTTCTTTTTAACAACTGGCTGGCCATCCACAGCTATACTCATGGGATGGTTCTCTGCATATACTTTTGCAACTTCAGTTCCTGAAAAAGTATGCTATAAATATTTCTAAAATTTGAATGGTTTAGGATATTAACCTAATATCATCTACCATAAAGGAGCAGTACTAACACACACATACAGTGTTTAACAATCTCTTGATAATTACCAATATGTTTCTATCAGCTCTTGGCAGGTGATTTATTCCTAACTCAATTGTTTCCTTTCTTATTTTCAACAAATTCTTAAATTTTGTTCTCTTTCATCTAATTGAAAGATTATAAACATGGTAATTGCAACCAAGACTTCTCCATAAAGCAAATTAAATCATGATAACAAATAAGACTTTTAATTTACCTTTTGCTAAATCATCCATGGGTATATCTACTGAATCCCCTTGGATATTAATAAGAGTAGCCTGAAGTACGTCAGGGACTGTCCCAGACTGAAAGAATGAAATGTTTAACAGGTAAAACATAGTGTTTGTAGTTATACAACAAACGTCAAGCATATATGTATTAACAATTAAAGGTAATGAGTATCAATTGACCAAAGCAATCTTACCATCAGAGAATTTTTGAAACTGAGTATCTAAAACATCACTTTTATAGGTGTGCAT